CTCTTCAGCACACTTCTCCTCATCTCTCCCAGATGAGAGTGTGCTGCCCACCTCTCATCACTAGGTGAAGATTTAAGAACTTTCTTGATCTTACCAAGAGGGTAGCATACGAGCTGAAGATTCCCTTACAGGAGGTGGCAGATACACATCACAAGTTGGTGGAAATTCTGCACACTACCTTCTCATCTAGAACTGTCCTCCCAATTAATGAGTTGATTCTAGATCCTACCAAAATCATCTGGTAGAGCCAGCCTCCATCGCACTAACCAGCAACAGAGTGTAAACAAAAACAACCATACATCTCTACCCAAAGAGGCAGACTTTGTTTTCAACGTCCGCAACCCAACTCCATGATAGTGGATGTGGTTAATTCATGAAGCAAGCAACATAATGCCAAGTCAACTCCATATGATCAGGCTTCGCAAGATGGCGTATTCATCGATAACATTATTGTTTAGAGTCATAAATTACCAAAAACTGTCATGGCCAAAACAATTTTGTTAATCTTGGGAAACCCAGGATGTTTCTGAAACATTACTGGAAACACAAAAAGAACAGATTCAGACCATTCTTAGAGAAGGTCAGTTAATAGCCAGACTGGTCCTGGAGACACCACTGGATGTAGCTGTTACAGCTGCCCGCCCAGTCTCCATGACAGTGGTACTGAGGTGGGTTGTGGGGTTTTTTTTTTTTTGTTCGCTACACCTCTCTAGATTGCCCAAAGAGCTACAGACTTCCAATCTGAAGGGCCAAACTCTTTGCGGAGAAGACAGATTTTCTCACCACATCCTGAAGGAGTCTCGGACCGCACTACACTCCTTAGGAATCTACACTGTGGAACAGAAGAGAAGATATACGTTTCAACCACATCATATTTCACAATCTTCTCAATACTCACCATCTCTGTGCTGTTATGAGCCACAGTGTAAGAGGTCCAGGGCTCAAAAGTGAGAACAGTCTGCACCCCAGTCCATGACCTCTCAAACTGCCTCTTATAAGCACTTTGATGAGCTGGTGGGGGCCTGAACAATGATACCTTACAGCATCATCTGCCATCTATACACCTGTCACGCCACTCAGAAGTCACCTTACCTTACTTCACAGCAGTTAGGACCAGCTCTAGAGCAAAGAGATTGATTTCTAGCCCTGAACCTACAGGGTGCCTACTGCCATATCTCAATACAACCATCATACAGGAGATTTCCTACTGCTTACCTTTGGGGCAGGATCATTATAGGTACAGACTGCTCCACACAGGGTAGTCTCCAAGGTTCACTTCATTGTAGTGGCATACTAACCCCAATACGGTGACTGGACTTTATCAGCACCAACCTGATGCAGTACAAGCGAGAGCGCTCCTCTCACTACCCACATTCACCACCCTGGGACACGTCTCCCTAATATGCTGGGGAGCTCACCTACACAGCAACACACAAAGGTTATGATGGACTTAATGTGACCTGTATGTTTTGTATAAACTGCCAAGGAGCTGCCAGATCTCCCTCCCTCTGCAAGACAGCATTCAAACTTTGGAACTGATGCACCCATCACAATGTGCTCATCTCAGCTGTCTGTCTACAAGGGATACAGAATGAGATAACCAACAGTCTCAGGTGGAATTTTCTCACAACAACGAGTGTATACTGAATTCAGAGGTGCTTCAATATATAGCCACCCTTTGGGGAAACATTCACTGGCGGTTGCCCTTATCTTCCCAGCAGACAGGGCCCACTGTTATGTCTTTTCCCAGTTTCCTACCCCATCCAAGATTCTGTTGAAAATTCAACAAAACAAAGCGAGAGTTATTATGATTGCCCCTCTTGACTATGACAAGTCTGGCTCCCTTACCTAACGCAGATGGCAATATGCCCTCCTGTTCCTCTGATGTCAGCCCATTCCTCACCCACTCTCTCAAAACAATTGACTGACTCTTCACCCCAACCCATGGGTCCTCCGCCTCCAGGCTTGGATCTTTCTTTGTTCCAAGGCTTAGAAGCAGAATGCTCTGACAAGCTGAAACACATGTTGCAACACAACCACAAGTTGACCACTCCACATACCTATCTACAAAATGGAAACCACTCCAAGTTTGTACCATTCCAAACAGACAGACCCAACCTCATCTTTCCTCCCTCTAATTTTGCACTACATTTTAAACTCTCACTCAGCTCCCTTAAGGTACATCTCATGGCAAAAATGGCTTCCCACTTGGAGTTTGCTCAACCACTAATGCGTAGACTCTTTAAGGGCATTGGGACTCTCTTCTCCCATGTGACACCACCTGCTCCAGCCTGGGACTTTAATCTAGTTCTCAGGGCTTGGACTAGACCTCCCTCTGAGTCCAGGGCAACTTGTTCTCTCTTACACCTGTCCATGACGACAGCATTTCTAATTGCCATCACCTCAGCTAGGCACGTAGGAGAAATAGCGGCCCTGATGGCACACCCATCATTCACAGCCTTTGTCTTAAAAATAATAATAATTAATAACAACAACTCTAAGGCCATATCCCAAGTTTCTCCCTACTTCTTCTGCACTTTCCATATGAATCAACAGATCCATCTCCCTGTTTTTTCTCAAAACCACATTGTGACAACTGGGAGACAACTGTGCATATGCTAGATATTAGAAGGACATTAGCATTCTACTTGGACAGGACTAAGGACTTCAGGAAAACCCCTAAACTCTTCCTTTCATCCACAGAAAGATCCAGAAGCTCTGTGATATCTCCTCAAAGACTATCCAAATAGGTCTCTAGTTGCATTAATCACTTAGCAAGGGCGCAACTTGCTTCCGTCCATACGCACTCCATGAGATCAGTTCCTACCTCAGTCACATTCCATAGGGATACCCCTATCTCCCCAATCCATAGAGCAAACTTTCGCAGAACATTTCGCAGAACATTATGCGATCACTGAAGATTTGGCCGCTGACACATCTTCGACTCCACAGTACTCTCTGTAGTAAAAGACTCCGCTCTGAAGTCCCAGCCTCCAGTGGTGGGTACTGCTCCAGAGTCACCTAAAGTGGTGCATCCATAGGGACACTACTCAAAGAAAAAGAGGAAGTTACTCACCTTGTGCAGTAACGATGGTTCTTCGAGATGTGTGTCCCTATGGGTGCTCCACAGCACGCCCTCCTCTCCTCTACTTCGAAGTTCTCTGTTGGGCTTTGTGGTAGAGAAGGAAGTGAGGCGGGTTCGCCCGTGCAGTGCTAAATAGCCTTGAGACAGACCACGAGGGAGGGAGAGCACATGCGCGGGCTCAGCGGGACACTGCTACCAAAAATCTCCGATTAGAGGTGCAGGGGCACACAGACACCTAAAGTGGAGCACCCATAGGGACACACATCTTGAAGAACCATCGTTACTGCACAAAGTGAGTAACTTCCTCTTCACACTGTCACTTGTTGCAGCAAAACTTTTGTCTTTTGGAGGATGAGGGGGGCGGTTTAACACCTCTGAAAGACAAAAGTTTTGTTGTTCAGTTGCCAGTGTAGATATAACCCACGTGGTTAAGAGAAATATCAGCATGTGGGCTAGATTCCACGCTATGCCTCTCAACAGAGCTGGTTCTCTAGCAAAACAGGCAGAATCTTCTCTGGTTGCATTTCAGCCTATAATGCAATGCTTGCTAGGGCTCTGAAATTACTTGGGCACATACAGACTGTTATCTTTGAGTTACAGTTTGTCCTTCCTGGCTGGTTAAAGCCAATGCAGAGGTGTTGGCACCATTGTTGGGGCTGATTTTTAGTGCCTCCATGCGGCACTATCTTTTCTTAAAGGAATAGTGGATTCTTGCTTAAGAAGCCATCACTTGGCATGGACACTCTCTCCAAATATTGCTCCATTCTAGATCTCCAGTGGTGGTGAAACAACTCCAGTAAATCTAGAGTTTTCAAGTCTTTTTGACTCCCATCAGTTGGGTTTTAGACCTCTTATGGTACTGAGTTTTGAGTTTCTGAAGGCCATAGATGAAAGTGCTTGTGAGATAGGGAAAGCAAGGAGAGAAAATAGCAGATATTATATTAGCCCTCTTAATTAAGAAGATATGCTCATGATTAATTTAATAAGAGGGCATGTTTCCACCTGCAGGATATCATACTGGATCCCCAGGAGCTACTGGATACCTAGAAACAGCAGTTGCTATTTGTGCCTTCTGCTGGCCCCAATTCAGTAAAGCATTTAAGCATGTTCTTAAGTCTCGCTGACTTCATTGGGACTTAAACATATGCTTAAAGTTAAGCCCATGTGTAAGCACCCTTCCTGGACAGGGATACTTTCCTGCATCTGGGCCTGTTTGTACTTGATAAGAAGGTTGTGCCCTCACCATTGACTTGGTTACGGTGAAATTAGGTTATTGCAATGCCCTGTACATTTTTAAACCCTTTAGAAATTTCAGCTAGTGCAGAATGCAGTGATTCCGCTTGTAAAAAGGAGGTTGAGAGCAAACTTACATGAGCTATTTTCCCTAAAAGTAGATCAGTGCTCACTGTGGGGTTTAATTTTTGTGGCCCAGGTCAGCAGACATGTCTTTTTCCTTAATAGGTTGTTCTGCTAATGAGCTGCCACTCCATAGGTTTTGGTAGCTACGATAGCTTGCGAAGTATGGAGATCTTAAGCTGCATAGGGACCTAGAGTTTTAGATTTAGATATGAATAGCTGTCTACATTATTTTAAGACATTATCCTGTAGTGTTCCTGACTTTGCAGAAGTATCCTCACATATTGGTAATGTTAACAATTTGTAATTCTAACAAAGTGTTTACTAAATGAATTGCAGATATAATCAAATCCTTATGAGTAATCAGTTCTGAGTTGTACTCACTGTAGCATGGTATTATATTTACACAAAAAAGCTCAGAATAAGATAGTGTGGCTCACCATTCGGCACACCCTCCACTAAGGCTCTGAATTAATATCAGTTTAGTAATGTCCACAACCAAACCTTAATTAAAATGCTCATATAGAATTAAAATGCTCCACTTTGTTTCTTTTGACAGGATCATTGAAGCTATCTGCATAGGCTGGTTCACTGCAGAGTGCATTGTGAGGTTCATCATCTCCAAAAACAAGTGTGAGTTTGTGAAGAGACCCCTGAACATCATTGATTTGCTGGCAATCACTCCTTACTACATCTCTGTGCTAATGACAGTTTTCACGGGGGAAAATTCTCAACTCCAAAGGGCTGGAGTCACTCTGAGGGTTCTTAGGATGATGAGGATTTTTTGGGTGATTAAACTTGCCCGTCACTTCATTGGTCTTCAGACACTTGGTCTGACTCTGAAGCGTTGTTACAGAGAGATGGTGATGCTTCTTGTCTTTATTTGTGTTGCTATGGCAATTTTTAGTGCACTTTCACAACTCCTTGAAAATGGGCTGGACTTGGGAACAAAGAATAAGGATTTTTCCAGCATCCCCGCTGCCTGTTGGTGGGTAATAATCTCGATGACCACAGTTGGTTATGGTGACATGTGCCCCATCACTGTACCTGGAAGGATTCTTGGTGGAATTTGTGTAGTTAGTGGGATTGTTTTATTAGCATTGCCTATTACTTTCATCTATCATAGCTTTGTGCAATGTTATCATGAGGTCAAGTTCCGATCTGCTAGATACAGCCGAAGCCTCTCTGCTGAATTCTTAAATTAATGAGTGTGCCTGCTTTTTGTAATAGTACTTGCTAACCTTTGGTGGAAGAGGTGATGGATGCGCACCCATCTTGCCAGATGATCCAAGGAACAGCATTGTCATCAGCCTTGAAGGATGTCAGTCACCATTCTCATCTGAAGGATGACTACCTGCTTTGGGCCCCATGGTAGGGAGCGTGGGTGGGGATGTTGAGATCTGAGAGGAAGAAAATGGTAGCTTCTTGAACAACAACGGGACTGGAAAGTTCAAGACCTCATGGGGGCTGGACTTCTCTCTGCCTATCCAGACAACTACACACACAAATCATGGGCTTGGTCCCAAGAGAGATGAAGACCTGCAACTCAGTGGGAGTTGCAGATACTCACCCCTCCTCATACTGATATTCCATAGCCTTCCAAGGAAAATATAACAGATGTCATTCAAATATTTTAAAATCTAAAAGGTCCCTTGGAGGAGTAGAGACCTTGTTGACATGAAGCCCGCTCCAGAAGAGTTGAGGACATGGGAGCAGAATTGCTGCTACTCTTAATTCCTCCAAGTCATGTAGCAGATGGAATAATCTGATCCTACGACTGAAGGAAGAGAGGAAAAAAATATAAATACACAAGGCAGAGGGAGTCTCAAAGCCCAATTCTGATCTCAGTTAAAGCCACAGTGACAGTGAGGTCAGTGGGTTTTTTTCCAGATTTTTATTGGAGTAACAGAGAGGAATGTATGTCCCTCTCTATGTTGTGGCATATGCTTAACCACAACTGCCATTTCTCTGGGAGTAAGATCTACAGTAGCAACTAATGTCATACTTTATAAAGATCAGAGTAAAATTCAGTAGTTGATAATACAATCAATATATCAACTGCTAGCTCAATGGGATGCAGATATCCAAATTGGACTTATGCACTCAGCTAAACTCCATCAACATGAAGACATTTACCAATAAGCCTTGATTCCCCCCCACCCCATTTTATTAACCATAATCACCTCATAGTGAAATAGTATTCCAAGAAACATGATGAATCTGTCACTTGAGAGGTTCAAAAACTTTCTAGACAAAGCACTAGAAAACAGGAGAACAATCCTGCAGTGTCGGGGCTGGGACAGATGTCCAGGTGGGTCTTTTTCCATCTCCAAATTCTATGGTGATTCTTATTGAAGGATTTACTATGAATTGATATAGGTTAATTTAAATTTTAACAACTGTAAAACAGCCCAGGTGATACTGAAAAGTAGCATTTGGATGGAACCTGTGCTTGGCACAAAGTAATATATTCTCCCCTGTAAATATGGAATTAAGATGAATGAAATTAGGTTCTCATGTTTCATACACTACATTTCTTGTGTAGTACTGCTCAGTAGCACTATTAAATATGACTTTGAAAAGCTGCCATGTAGAACTGTGCTGTTAAACATTCAAACAAATGTAGGCACAACTAACCCAGTACTATTTACCACCCACCATTAACAGGAAACATTTTTATTAACCATAATCACCAGTCTATTTGAATTTGGTGTGCTTGCCTGAAAGTCATTGTAAAATGTTTACTGTGTTTGAATTGTAGAAGCACCTTTGGATGTTTTGTGTACATCTGTCAGCTTTAGAAATAGAGAGACCGGCACCTCTCAGCAACAGAAGTCTTTGGTACTGATCACTCAAACTAAAAATATTAGGTGGGATATATAACTAGTACTTGAAGGCCATACATTGAAAAAGAAATATGCTGCCATTTTTGCTGCTCAAGACCTGAAAAGTTATGGATCATGTTAAGTGGCATGCTGTTGTTTTTAGGGGAAAGGGATATCTACTGATAAAGCCAGTCAAGGAGGGAAAGGAAATTGTTTCACTACCAGAAGTTGTAAAGTAACCTGAAAGAAAAGTTGCTTGATTGCAATAGCCATGAGTTTGTATTTCCCAAAACTAGTTTCCTTTTTTTCTGCTATAGTTTCTTGAGGATATATTATTGTGTAGTGCCATATCTATACCTTTGAAATCTGTGTATCTTGCAGAGAGGTGAATATTCCTTGGGAACAGGGGGGGAAATGGCTTTTAGGGAGAGATTCTCAGCTGGTTTAAGCTGGCCAGCTTCCATTAACTTCAGAGGATCTATACCAGTTGACACCAGCTGAGATTCTGGGACTTAGCATATATAATAGAGCTGATTAGAGAAAAAAATTCCCCACAAAAATGAAAGTTAGTTTCTGGTAAAAGAAACTGAAATTTGACTTTTATTTTCCAGCCACTGAAGACTGAAACATTTCAGCCAAAATTAGTTTATGTTTTGATAAAAACTTAACAATTTGGGGTGTGGGGGAGGAATTCTCTACAAAAAAAAGTGGCTTTGACAAAATAAAAATTTTCCATCCCTGTAATTCTGAATTTCTATTATTTTCTTCATCTACTAGTGTTGATAAAGCTAGCTCTACTCATTTAGAAACTCTAGGGTGAAATTGGTTTCCATGTAACTTTTTCAAGTCTACTGTGCCTTTCATAGATTATATTTAAACAGATTAATGCCCTTTATTTGGGATGCAAAATAAGATATCCAATTTGAGCAAAGTGGGTATATCTCAGTTTTAAAAATATACAAATATGAAATATACTTAAAGTAGTAGTACTAAATTCCAGAAAAAAATTAACTTGTATTTTTATCACTACAGTATACATAAGGTTAGTTTTTTAGCTTCATGTGCAAAAAAAGCAAAGTCAGGTATAAATTAATGCACACAATGACTTTCAAGTATCGATTTGTATTGTACAGGCAATTGAATACTAGACATTCCAAAGACAAACTAGTGTCTAGAATATGTCTGACATAAGAGTACAGAAAATGTGCTATTTTATAAAGGGTTTCCAAATGTAGATTCTTATAGAATACGAAGAATATAATCACCTACTTAATATACTTATGTAAAGGAATGTATGTTTATGAAAAATGGAGATCTTAAATACAAACATTTACATTGTTGATCAATTTTTTTATTGCAGAATGTGAACAAAAATGCCTCATGTATTTTAAATTTGCATTACAGTAGAATAATTTTGAATAGCTAAGTGGATATAAAGTAAGAATCTAGTCCATAAAAAACTTGCCCTAAATATAAGCTAGCTATGGAGAGATATTTGCTCTTTTCTTTATTTTAGCGTAGCATGGTTATTAATGTATTGACAAGTGGTTTCCTTTACTCTTTTTAGAAACCAATTTGAAGTAGCCTTATATCAGAGGTAGCCTTAAAACAGAGAGCCTTATAGTGAAGGGATAGGGTATTCTTATTTATAGTGATGCTTATTGTCTTATTTTCTGTAGATTGATTTTCCTAGTGAAACTTTCTATAAATAAATATTGAATTATACATGTGTATAAAGATAAGCATTTCTTTAAACTGAAGTTACTTCATTAAAATGCAGCTGAGCTTTCTTTTCAGTTACATACAAACATTTTGGCATAGTGTTCTCTCCACCTAATACAGCATTTCAAAAACTAAGAGAGGATAGTTGGCTAATTCTCAGCTACTCCCCCCATTTTCACACCAGAATAAAATTGTGATCCTATATATAAGGTGTACAGTAAAATCTCTAGGGATACGTTCTCAAAGAGTGTAAGACACAAACTCCTATATGTATCCTGACAATTTAAACAAAAATTGGGAGAAAATATGAATGCAGCAAATCTAAAATTTTTTTTGTCACAATGGTACACAAAGGCTTCTGTTCATCCAAAATGCAGCTAGTGTACATGAATACCAAACTGTGGAAATTCCACCACTTGACTAATTGTCAAGGCTAATTGTCAATTAGATGTTGGCCTCAACCCCGCGGGGTGATGAGTGTCTGAGAGTGCTCTGCTCCCACTGAAATCAATAGGCGTGGAGGGTGCCCAGCAACTTGCAGAATTGGGCCCAGAGTGTTTTTCTCTTACTGTCCTGCACAAAGAGACACCACTCCAAAATCTCCAGTTATGGAATATTAGTTACTATCTCTTTGGATATTAGGTTGCTTCAACCAGGATACTCAATGCCTCTAAAGACACACATGAGGGAAGGAATATAATCTTTGGCCATTTATCCTAAAAAACAGATTAAGAAACCAAACAAAACACCACAGAGACAAGCGATTGCAGTCATGGTGCCCTCTCCCAGGTGAGACTAGACCCCACAATGTTTGACTATTTTCAACAACTTTGTCTAGATGGGTGCAGGTTGTCTATGGCTTGATTATTAATTTTGAGGTTAAAAAATATCCTTGTGTCAGAGGGGCATGTTTTGAGCCTCATGAACTTTGCAGAGGGCCCAGTGAATACAAAAATCCTCTTATGAGATTCATGGCCTGACTAACATTTATGTAAGGGAGGAATGGTGGATGGGAGTTTTCATTGTGTAAACAATCTGTGGCTGTACCACAGCCTTCAGCTTAATCGTGCTGTATCAGGGATAAAACGGATGGCTTCGTGGCTCCAAAACCAGAGGCCTCTTCTACTTCAGTTATCTTAATCACAAACACCTTAACAGATCTGAATTTCAGCCCAGGAGAAGGCATAAAGCCCTGAACATTCACACAATGCCTATAATTTCTTCCCACATAAGAGGTCCATGGTAAGATTATCAATCAAGCTCTGGCCATTTGAAATTTGTATTGTCAGTATACAAAGGCCCAGATGCTGCAGTTTCATCCATCTAGGCGCAGGGGTCCGTTCACAAGGAGGCAGCTGTAGGATCATAGCCCAAGGCTGCGCATAATGAAATAGATTGATCATGTTGTTTTAGAGAGAGAGATTTTGTTTTCATCACTTGAAAGGGAATCTGGCTCAAAGAAACAAAAGATACATTGTTTTTAAATTAATTTTCACATTTAGAAATGGATGATTTTCTTACTGATGTTTGTCTATATTTTACTGGTTCTGTTCTCTCCCTGCTGCATAAAAATAGCTCCTCTTTACGTTAATGGGAGTAAAGAGAGTAATGAGAGCCCCATTGAAGCTATAGCAGTTTACACCAACTGAGGATCTGCCCCAGCGGGCAATGAGGAGACAAACTGCTGTTCATATAATTAAGCCTTGAAAATTACCTAATGTAATGTATGGCTTATGAAATAAAATTTGGAGTAAAGAATCTCCTTTGTGGATGGCATCATGGGTTAAACTTCAAGAGGAATATATTGTGAGATTGATATGTATGTTCAGTAAAATTGTTCATTTGCGCTGAATCTAAATTTTAAGGGCCAGAGATTAAATATAAACTTTGATCAAATGATTAAAGTGACAATGTTGACTGCAGCTTTTTAGAATCCTTTGTTCTTTGCAAACTCAGTAATTAATCATTTTTATAGAACATTGATTTTATATTGTTTGCATATGTGTAAAAAAATTTGACGAGTTAATACAGCTTTGCTTCCTTAACCACCTGTATACAGTATTACATGCATATGATCTCCAAATAAATCTACTGGATTCACTAGCGTATTTCACTGTGCAAGGCTTAAGATAGAACACAAAATAAAATTGTCAGACTTTTTAAATAGAAGTCTTACCATTATTCTGTTTTATTTTAAGGTATGGCATTGTTTTGAAAAGTGACTTTGCAAAATTGATACCTTTCTTATGCAACAGTTCTACTCCCTGCGGTTATTCATATCTGTTTGGTATACTGACCCCCCAAAATAAAAGTGTTTCTTAGGCCATGTCCACACTACCACTTTTGTTGGGATAACTTACGTTGCTCCAGGGTGTGAAAAAAAACACACCCCCCTGAGCAACATAAGTTATACTGACAGAAGCGTCCATGTGTACAGCACCAAGTCGGCGGGAGAAGCTACCATTGCTCTGGTTTTATTATGTCGACAGGAGAGCTCTCTCCCATCAGCATAGAGCAGCTACACAAGTGATCTTACAGCTAGGCAGATGCATCAGTACATCTGTGCCGCTGTAAACTTGCTAGTGTAGACATGACCTAACTTTTTAACTCCCATTAGAACTGCAGAGTCAATAAAGTTGTGAGAGAATGAGCTGAATTCTAATCTAGCTCAGCATCGACATAATTTCACAGGAGCCAATTCTGTCCTCAGATACCCCTGGGTAACTTCAGTGAAGACAATGGTGGGGGGAGAGGGGTGTACAGAATTTGGCCTGTATATAGTCTTTTATTACTAGAGACAAGGCATGACGCAAACAGAACAATTTGAGTTTCAGAACCCAGGCAGCGTTTCAGGTCTGGAAGTTAAGATGAGCCATTGTGCTTACATTTGATCAGGAAGTCACTGAGACACAATAAATAATGAACCCCAGGGTGCTGTTTTTACAGAGTCACTTTTCACAGTAAGAGCTAGATATATTTTACAACCACAGGGAACAGAGTAATCAGAATAATAGGTAAAGCACCATGTAATGGAACTATGTAAGCCCTTGGACTGGTTCTGATGAACTCATAACCCAGAAAACAGATGAAAGCCAGATTTAATGTCACTGAATTCTTTGAAACATATTCAGTTTTAAAAAAATACTCTATACTTAGCTCTGAGTTTGTTCCGAAGTTTCAAATCAACTGAAACATTACCTAGTATAACATTTACTGTGGAAATTATTTCACTGAAGCCATCTCAACTAAAAATAATCACAGATAATGTTCTTCAGGTTTCTTTTTAAAAATAAATTAGAACTTTATGATTTGGACTTCAAATCAGATCAATTTTGATTTTTTGGTGTCAGAGCAATTGGATTGTGACAAAAATTAACAACACATAGATTAGAAAATAATATTTTGCCATTGTATTTATCAGTTCAAAAAGATAGATTAATCAGTGAACAACAAATAGAGTTCAAATAGGGCTGTCAATTAATCTCAGTTAACTCATGTGATTAACTCAAAAAGATTAATTGCGATTAAAAAAATTAATCACAATTAATTACACGGTTCAAAAATATTTCAATTGGCATTCTATTGTTTGATGTTTTTCTACATTTTCAAATATATTGATTTCTATTACAACACATAATACAAAGTGTACAGTGCTCACTTTATATTTTTATTACAAATATTTGCACTGTAAAATGATAAGAAATAATATTTTTCAATTCACCTCATACAAGTACTGTAGTGCAATCTCTTTATTGTGACAGTGTAACTTAAAAATGTAGATTTTTTTTTGTTACATAACTGCACTCAATAACAAAACACTGTAAAGCTTCAGAGCCTACAAGTCCACTCTGTCCTATTTCTTGTTCAGCCAACTGCTAAGACAAACAAGTTTGGTTACAATTTGCAGGAGATAATACTGCCCACTTCTTATTTACAATGTCACCAGAAAGTGAGAACAAGCCTTCACACTTTTGTAGCACTTTTGTAGCCGGTGTTGCAAGGCATTTACGTGCGACGTATGCTAAACATTCATATGCCCCTTCATGCTTTGGCCACCATTCCAGAGGACATGCTTCCATGCTGATGCCGCTTGTTAAAAAAAATGTTAATAAAATTTGTGACTGAACTCCTTGGGGAAGAATTGTATGTCCCCTGTTCTGTTTTACCGTCATTCTACCATATATTTCATGTTATAGTAATCTTGGATGATGATCCAGCTGTTGGATCATATTAAAGAAGTTCTGTATTAAAATCACAAATGAGTTTGATTCCCCAGAGTTTAAATTCCAGGGTATTACTAATTAAGAGGTCTCTTGGTTTTTGGTACTGTTTCTCTCCCTCTATGTGTGAAACTTGCAAGCTGCTAATTGTGTTAGTACATTCTAAGACAGAGTCTATTCTCAAAGCAATTCACAGAGAGAGAGACTCAAAGCAATACTCTAACAACAGAAACAGCACCCAGAGACTCCCCACCCTTTTGTTGTATTAACAATTGTGATTAAAATAGAGATAGAGGATGTATGTGGATGGATGCTTGGTGTGGATAATAACTGAATGATCAGGGAGGTGCCAGCCTAAGAATCCAGTGTCCATCGGCTGAAGAAGGCGTCAAGTGGAAATAACCAGAGGACCCCCCGGAGGGCAGACTGGAATCCACCCAACAGCCTCAAGAATGGGAGAACCAAAGAACAAGATAACATCTTGGAGCCGTCAGGAATGTGCTATCTGCTGATTGATTCAGCAGCAGCATGATGAAGCAATTCCCATAGACTGGCATGGGAAGAAATTCCTATAAAAATAGACTCTAAAAAGTGAGAACTTTGGGGTCTGATTCTGCAAACCAACTTCCAGGAGCATCAGATGAGCATCTGACAAGGCCCTGCTCCCTCCTCATGTCCAGGCCACCTGGCCAGTGGCTTGGCATGAGCAACTCTAAGGCTGGTAACTATGATAACAACCTTGCAGAACCTGTGTGTGTGTGTATGTTTGTATGAATGAATGGG